CCTTTTACATTTTTTTTCTTTTCATGATGACAGTGGTGAGGCTCTGCCTCCCCTGCCTCCCCTGACTGCACGTCCCTGTAGTACAGTATTCCTTAACATGATGGTCTGGCTCGTACAATATGATGAAATAATAGAACAGTTCTCCAAATACACCCAAATTATAAACTGCTAGTTCAGTATATTGTGTGTCCCTGATTAGTGTAATGTCCAGAATATTTGTAATTATTGGAAAAAGGTACATGTCAGAGGTGGGTTTCTACTGGTTCTTACCAGTTTGGGCAAACTGGTAGTGGTTATTTGGCCTGGGTCGCACAACTGGCAGCAATCCAGCCTGGCCACATCCCCGAACCGGTTCCCCGGTCTCCATTGCTGACATGTTTTTTATTAGCTTTTCATGGTCTTCACGCATACACAAAACAATTTACAGTGAACTGCACATGTGCAAGCAACACACGTCTGGCACATGCGAAGCGAACTGGTGCCGGTAGGAACCCACCCCTGGTGTATGTATCTTTTTTTAAACATTGCTTGAATGAAATTAAGCTTCATGACTGAATTGGGTTCATCCATAGGAACAGAATAGCAGAAGCTTTTAGTATTGTTTGTTGGAAAGTCTATTAAACAAGTACAGCTTGCAGGCATGCCTGAGCATGTAATCCTAAACTGTTTGATCAGAGTGCTCTGTTGCTAAATACTTGGCTTTCAGGTAATTCACAATGCCTTGCACCGCTCCATTAGAACACATCTTTATTTCCAAATGCAACAGAATCAACATTATCCTTGAAACTATAGGGGTGTGCAAACAAATTGTAACCCATTTCTTAAATGGCTTTTATATGCTAGTCTTCAATGCCTGAAAAGCTGCTTTATTAGGATTCAAGGTAGTCTCTCTTGAGACTGAGATATCTGGAATGACCTCTATACTCTGAGGAGGTGCATTGGCAGGAAGTTCAAAGAAAAGCTTAGCTGCCTCTAGCAGAGCTTGCTCACTTCCCCAAAGAATAAATGGGATTGCCTTTTTATATCACTCCCCAGGCCTTGGCAGTGTATTATATTTTCTATAGCAGTAATTGACACTGTATGTTTCAAAGACGAGTTCAGGATAGAAGTAGCACTGAAATAAAATGTTTTCAGGGAAGTTTCGGCTAGCTACTTAGCTGGAAGGTTTTTTACTGCATTTCAGAGTTTTGTGAATGTGAACTTTGATTTTATGAAATCCCATTTAATTTTTTGAAACCTTTTAGTTTATATCTTCAGAAGTCTCTTTTGTCAGTGTTCTAACTACTGGTGATCATTCATGCTGGACTCTCTAGTGATTATCATTCATTTTAACATTTGCTTAACAATACTGCATTATGGAGAGAGCTCTTCGCTAGACATTCTGCAGAACACAAAATAAAACACCAGAAAAATTATTCTGCCATTCCTTTATACTAAGTATATGCCAGGCCAGTCAGGGGCTGCACTAGGTTTTGCAAGCAACATTAAGAATAACAGTTTAAAAGTGGCTCGGGCCAGTATATGAGATTTGATGGAACTTTGCTTTTTAAAAAAATTAAAGTAATTGCCATAAGCCATTTAGTTCATTAAAAGCTTTCTCAATACAGAGATGTTTAAAACAAACAAACATTTTGAACCTCCGTCTCTCTTGATTGTTCTGGAGATAATTAGAAGGATTCTGGAGGCAATACAGTAATGGTTGTAGTTTTTATGCCATTAATTTAAGCTTTTCTCTATCATTCAGAGTTGTATAATTTGGATTATAGTTCCTCAGTCAGTTTTTTTTTTACTTTTGTATCATTAAATTGATTTTGCTCTGCTTTCTAGTAACATGAAATTACTTCTTTGTTCTTGTAATGGGCAGGATAATAAGTTGAAGAACAGGAGAAAGAGTTCCAACCAAGACAATCGTCAGATAAAAGAAATCTGAGTCTAGGGTAGAAATGTGATTTGAGAAAGCATCTCAGATGGCAGTCCCCCTAGTTTCCAGAGAGATATAGGAAAAGAGGGGAAGCATATTCAAACTTGCAAGATTATGCCATTTTTTATATATACTAAGAGCAGTATTAGCAGCCATGACTTTGGTTTTCTAATCTGGTCTACTTTGGAAAGTTTATATTGTATCTGTCATTGACAAAATGCACTGAAGATTGGCAATTGAATTTACTAATTCATCCAGCAACACATTCATCTACTTGTGCAAGTTTTTCCACCATTTTTCTATAATGTACAATCATTTCACAAGTTTCCCTATCAGAAATTCAACCTTGGTCTTTACTAAATTAATTTTTAGATCCATACTCTTCGAATCATACATTCTATCTAACATTGCAAATGTTACAAATTGCAAGTTGGGAAAGAGGGGTCGAGAAATTTTAAGACATAAAATGCTAATAGGAAAGTAGTAAGTATATGTGACCCAGAAAAGTGAAAGTGGGTATATGTGAGAAGGTGCTCCTGTCTGCTTATAATATGGTGGTGAGAGTAGAGTAAGTCAAGAGAAACATAAAAGTAAGGTAAATGCTATGGAAATGAGCAGATAATGGATGAATGTCTATTTAATATAGTAAATTCTCATTTTTAAAGAGTATATTGCAGTAGTATAATGATTTAGAAAGTAGAAGTCAGGGATCTGTGGTTGACCGCTGGAAAGCTGACTCCAGGTCTTAGTCTTTCAATTACCAGTCCCTCTTTATCCAGCAATCAATATGGGTGAATTGTCCAAGGCTAAAGTTTGTATCTGTGTTTTCATCAGTTTGGGTAATATGCTATTTTATTCTTCTTAGGAAATTGAAAAATTGAGAGAAGAAATTGACAATGCCAGAGAGCTTCAGGCGCAAAGAGACTCTTTAACTCAGAAATTACAAGTAAGTAACAGTGGTGGGAGATCTGTTAATGTCTAATTTATATAATATAAATCACCCATAGGTTACTAGATGATAAATTTTAAGGCCCCATATATAAAATCTGTGCTCCCTAGTTTAAACTCAAGGCTTTTTCTTATGCTTCCAAGTTAATGGATACTATTTCCCTCTTACACTGGCAGCTTGAATTACTTGCTCTTTAGTAAGGAGAATGAGAAGATAAAGGCAGGGGATGACCAAGAGTATTTGTGAGCATATGGTTAAGAGAATGGAAAGGGTAACCCCAGGCATCATTTGATGCTGACAAGGAGATGGATTGTTCTCTTTTGGTTCAGCAGCTCCATTAAGACATAATTGCAAAACAGTTTTGATCCATGTTTCTCATAAGAACTAAAGGCTTAATATTCCTTGTGTGAAAAGTTTTATGTAAACGTTAATAATAGCTGATCTGTTCAGAGGAAACTAAAGAGATACCAAAGACTTTTTATGCCAAACACAAGTTTATGACGTCACCATATTATGTCTAATAATAAGTCCATGAAATTGAACTTAACTTGAGGGAGATTGACCTTTCATTCATGCTGATTAAAAATTACATGCTTCAGTTTATGATGAAATGCTGGTGTTATGACTCCAAAACTTACTTTTTCATGGCAGACAACTCAGATATTACAGGAAGCTAACATTAATTTTTACTCATAGCAATTATCCTGTATATTGATACTGTCATATGCCAGAGTTTTGTTTGCAAATTCTTATATATGACATTCCTTAATGATTTGTAGACATATAGTTTATATCTCTTTGGCTAAAGATTTTGCCATTTATTCTCACAATTGATGTTTTACAATTACCTGGACAAGCTATTTAGGTAATGAGTGAAGAATTTATGCCCAATTATGAATAACATGCATATTGCTTAGTCAGATGTTGTAGTTACTTATTTATTTGACATGAAATAAGTATCAGTTTGTTATCTTGAAAAAAATCAATGACAAAATTTACAGATGTGAGAAGAAAGGTTTTGCAGAACTATATTTGTTTTGGAAATCAGTTAGTGGGGAATGATTAAAATATATATTTGCTAACTTTTTAAAGAATAGAATACACTAAATCTTATTGAGGAAGCAGTTCATACACATTTAGCATATATTGATTTCTTAATTGTATCAGAAACACTGATAAAGATGGATCCCCTTCAAACCATGTTTTCTATGATATAATATCCATGTTGCTCTATATCAGCAGATATGTGGATATGTGCCTTGCTCAGTAGTAGTGACACCATCCATTAACTATATATGGACTCCGTGACATTGGTGTAGGCACTAGGATTCCCTTCACTTTTGTTGCTACCCAGTTTTGGTGGTACTATAATATGTCACCAAAGTTAAGTAGAAATCTTCATAAAATTATTATTAACCAGGACACTAAGTACTTAGAATCTTCAGAATGGAATCAAATAATTACAAAATTGAGTGTTTTGTTTATGTGCATTTATGAATCAGATCTGAATAATAAACATATACGAACAGATATATACACACAATCTTCAGTTAAAAAAAAATTTTTTTTTTGCTCACCAATGGTTTAGTTCTAGATCACCTGGAAGTAATCAGATTGCCATTGCCAGAGGCAAAATATTTACTTATGTTCATAATTTATTATTTTATATTCTGGCAATTGCCCATTCCTTTTTGACAAATGAAGGAGAATATACGTGTCCCAGAATAATATTGCAGGATCCAATCTGGGTTGGTCACGGAGACCAGATATTTAATCTTGTGAGCTTTCGGACTCGTGCTGAAGCCCATCTTCGGCAAACTTCTCTCTAACAGTGTGTGTGCTTCAAATTATTTTGTATGTGGTATTCTGTGTATTCTCTCTACTAGAGAAGAGTTCCCTGAAGATGGAGTCCCGTAACAAAGCTAAACATGGGTCTCAGTCCAAAAACAGATGTGACCTTCTGCAATTTGCTTACTTATAGACAGATAAATACAATGTTGTGATAATTACCCTGCAAGGAAAGTTCCATCCTGGACCACATTGTAGCATGCCTTATACAACGATATTTCCGTGTAACATTAAGAATAGCATTTAAAAACCAGTATTTTATTTACTTTGCATATTACATTTTTTTTTAAAGGAAGTGGAAGTTCGAAATAAAGATCTAGAAGGCCAACTATCTGATCTTGAACAGCGTTTGGAGAAAAGTCAGAATGAACAAGAAGTTTTTCGCAATAACTTGAAAACACTTTTAGAAATTCTCGATGGCAAAATTTTTGAACTTACAGAACTACGAGATAATCTGGCCAAGCTAATAGAATGCAGCTAAAGAATACAGGATCTCAGTGCCAAACTTCTTAAAGATGCACTGTCTCTCTTCATACAGGACTTTGTTGGGCTCTGCATCAAAGTTGCACAAAATTAGAAAAATGCTCCTTCAGAAGGGCCTGTTTTAAATTTTCAACAATATACAATATACAGTATTTCAATGTAAAATTTCAGAATTGAGCTTGTAGTTAGTTGAAAAAAAATAATAACTTGAAGTACAAATTACCTCCTTGTATATAATTGGCCATAGATAACTCGAGGGTATTAACAGTAACTGAATGCAATCCTTTTCTAATTATTAGCCAATGAAATAATAAGAAGTGCTTCAAATGACATCCCTCTTAGTGTTCCACACAATGTAGGCGATCAGTTTTATTTTCTTTGTTAAGGCAACAGTATGCTGTGTTTTGTGCAAGAACTTTGTGATGACAGCCCTCTCTTTCGTTGTAATCTGAATAATTTCTCAGGATATTTTGTACTGTTGAAAAAAACAGTGCATTACCAATTAATTCTTGCCAGGAGTGAGAGAGAGTTGCATCTTTAATTCAGACCTAATGAATTAATGCTTGTATAGAGTTCTTCCCTTTTTTTTTATACTGGAAGATACTGTCTTTATTTACAATGTTCACTCTGGTGTTCTATAATATTGTCTAGTGTATGGTTTACTTTTTTCCTATTGGGAATTCATGTATGTAGAAATTATGTATTTCATTTTGTTATGCATTTTGAAGCCTATCTATGAAGACAAGCAAGTCCCTGAAAGGAATTTTAAATTTTGCTATGTTCAAATAAGGTTCAGTCTATACTTATGGAATATCACATGGAGTTAACTTTTCTTATCAAAATATGTTTTAGTAATTTATTTAGCAAGAATTCTGAAACTGGAAATATAGGTATTGCTAGGGCATTGACCTTGCTCAAGCAATTAAGGGGAGGGAAAAGCATTGTATTAGCATAGAATTTTTTTTCCTGCTGTATGTTCATGAAACATCTTTATTAGAAAAATGTGCCAGGCGATGTTCTGAATTTCAAAACAAGACCTGAATTCAGTTATCCTCAGTGAACCTCTTTTTAAGTTGTATTGATGTAATTTACAAAGGTTTTTTTTGCCAAATACGATATATATATATATAAATTTTAAAGGAAAAAAGAAAAGCAAACTGAGAGTCAATCTATGTTTCATGAATGGAATAAGCTAGCCTTGCTGTAGATTGTCTAATATTGCAAAAGATTTTTAAAAATTGAACAAAAAAAAATCAGACAACAATGCACTGATCTTTTTATTTACACCAAATTAATTTGGATGTTAAATATAAAATACAGCTTAAATATAAACTCTATATTTTTTTTCCACTTAAGGACTGCTATTCAAAACTAGATAATATAAATCGGGTTTTTTATGTGTGTACTGTATGTATATACTGTATAATACAGGCACTCTAATTTGTATTTAAAATGAGATAAATATTTGGCTTAATTTATAAAATGACATTTTCTTTATCTGTAATTTAACAAGTGTCTCCTGAAATATCAGGATTATTGTTAATTAAACACTAAATTATGATGTATTATACTATATGTACTGTACACATCATTTGTTTTGTCCATGTTTTAGAGTATTTTATCATTTATTTTATTTATTATTGGGAAAATATTTGTTCATTGCATTCATAGACAAAAGCTTTCTATGGTGATTTTTAAAAACTTAATAGCTAAGTGTTGATGATGTGTAACCTTATTGGTCAGGACAGTAGTGATTACCTGATTTTAATTTACCTGAAGAAGTTTGCACCTCATTCTCTTGCTAGATGAGTGTCACTCAGAAACATCTTCAGCAAAGTATAAAATTGGTGTAATTCTTGGACGAATGAAATACCATAAGTTCTTGCTCGGTATTCTTAATTATAGCAAGTTAGAGCAGAAATTTGATGGCAAAAAATGTAATATTGTTTTTAATAAGATCAAAAATTTTAATACAAGGACATTTACATGTGGGAAAAAAGTTTACAAAGTTATTTCCACTTCAATGCTGTGTATATGTGTTGTACAAGAAAACTTATTTGTATATGTACACACACACATGTATATACAGTATATAAAAAATTAAATGTGCACATTTAGAATATTTTCCTATTGAAATTAAAATTAGTAATCAGAAATCAATATTTGGGAATTTCTTTTCTCATGTATATTTAGATGCTTGACTTTGGGTTCTTTTGTTTGTAAAATAAAATCCAAGAGGGCTGTACCACTGAATCCCCAAAAGTCATCTAACATGTATATGGGATAAGATAAATATAAGTGCACATATAAATTAATTATATTAAAAATATTTTAATGTTCATTTACATTAGATGGGTGTTAGAAATTATATGTTAACAATTACACTCAGTTGTTCTTAATGAAATGGCTTTCCTGCACTTGCATATATGCCAGAAAATACTTTTGATTGTCATAGACTAAGAAAAGCAAACAAGAATTTACATCGAAGAACAATCACATTGTGTATAACTTGTTATATGACAATTATGGAGTCTTGTTAAAAATTCTTTTAAAACCCAACAAAATACAGTTTTTATTTTGAAATACAATTGCTGTTCTGGAGAATGTACTTTTATTATTTTTTCTTTCTTGAACTCTTTTTAAGAATTATAAACTGTTCATTGGATGGCAGCATTTACCTTAATTCTTCAGGTGCTACTGGATTTTGAATTAGAGTGTCATGTTGTGAAATTATGACTTTGACATAAAAAGGTTTTATAAGTATATCCCTGTCTGGAAGTTGGTTATTGGGGCCTCTTTCTCATAACTCTACTCCAGAATTTTTAATAATTTCATTCTTCCATATAGAATTTCTTGATCCCAGGCCACAAAATTCATCAAATGAAACTGATAGACACCAGTTTCATGATTGAACAATGTGGGCTTATTCAGAATCAAGTGGCTTTTGTTGTCTAATGACTATTTTAATATAAGCAAGTTGGAAGCTAGACAAATAAAGCATCTGTTTGATTGGTCCTGTTTGAAAGACATTCAGATGTAGACTATAGATAATAATGATCAATAATATGATGGTACCTTTGGGAAGTCGGTGCCAATTGCATGAACAGAAGACCTCATTTCACTTACAAAAGAAACTACAATCCAGGAGAATCCACCCAATCATCTGTACTGGAGCAATTTTTTTAGGGAAGGGTACAACAAAAAGCTTCTTCTTTCACAACAAATGGAGATTCTCCCCATAAAAAACTCTCTTCCACTTTTAAAATTATTGTTTTTAAAACTGCTGCACAAAGCAAATAGAAAGTATTTAAATTAGACTGTGGCTAGTTCCACATATTACATGAAGAGCTGTTTGCATAATCAACTAGACCTAGTAGGATTATAGATCACTGACCATTTTGCAAGGCCATCTGCTATCATCAGCCCACCAAAAGACAACTTCCACCCAACTTTATAACCTATACATTTTTTTTTTCTGAATAGGGCCACCTAAGTGATGCTGCCCAGTTCACATATTGTACTTCAAATCCATTGTAGGCAAATCGCTCCACACCAACTGGTTACTGAGTGCTACGACAGGAATTGTCGTCACTGATTTTCCCAGACATTTTTTCCCCACTGGTGAAATAATGAAACAGTGAATCAGTTCCTATGATTTTACAAGTTTGTTGGTGGAACAGTAGAACAGTGGGCCCTCTCTTGTGTTTCTTAGCAGATGAAATTGAAATGAATTTTGTCACTTCCCTTTATTGGCTATAGAGCCAGGAAAAGGGTAGAAGTGTGGTGTTCATGGTTTTCATGGGTTCGGGAGGGATAAAGAAATGGAATTTATTAGTCAAGATCTACTGTAAATGTAAACGAAATCCAAAGAACAGGCTGTCACTGGGACCAAACTGGAAGAATTGAATCTAGAAAAGTATTTCTTACACTGATTTTATTTCCTCTGAGTTTACGTGCAGAACCCAAGAATTTTAAGGTTGAAGTGTTGAAAAAGTCCCAGGTTGTTACCTAATTTGGTAAGATTTCAGTTTAACATTACATGAACTGCCAACAGATTTGGACCTGCAAAGGGGTATTGGAATATATGAAGAACTGTGATGGTCCAGTTGTTAGAATGCAGAATTGCAAGCAAACTCTGTTCACAGCCAGGAATTCGATCCCGATCAGCTCAAGGTTAATTCAGCCTTCCATCCGTCTGAAGTCGGTAAAACGAGGACCCAAATTGTTGGGGGCAATATGCTGACACTGTAAACTGCTCAGAGAGTGCTGTAAAGCATTATGGAGCGGTATATAAGCCTAAGTGCTATTGCAAATTACTCCCCACCCCCTTCTCCCAGCAATGTGATAACATCTACCCATGACAGAAACTGTATTCAAATAAATATATTTTATTTAAGGAAATGAAGGAGCAACTTTTAAGCACCAAAACTTGAAGTATGTTGTTACATTGCATGTTTAAGAGACAAGTCATTCAGGACTTTCGGTACAGGTTTGAATTTTGAAGCCATGATAGTAGAAAACATGAAGTACAAAGCAATACAACAAAATTACTGAAAGACTACATTAAAGAAAAATAAGCAAACAGAAATAGATTAAACTTTAAAATTTCAAAATATTGCTAAGAATGCTCAATTAGTTTATGTATCTTGTTTAATACTTTAGAATACTTTTAGAACTGAGCATTATAAAGGTATTGCAAAGGTTTGCAGGAGTATGCTGTTTAAAGAAATGTTCATTAATAGTGTCCATTAAATAGAGCTGTGTTAAGTACTGCAGTAATGTGATTTGAATTTTACTTTGACTAAATCGATGAATAATTTTTATTTTACCTTCAAAATGAAATGTACTATGAATATTTTCTAGTACTTACCTATGCAATTTTGTTGGCAGCCTTTTGCATTTCAGTAAAATATTAACACAGCTGTGATATTGGCAACTCAAAACAATTGATAATTAAATAGAAAAACACAAATATAAGAAGTAAAATGTATTATTGGGAAACCCATCTTGACATCACTGGTACTTTTAATTAGGGATAAGCAAAGGCCATAGATGACATTAGATAAGAAATTCCACATACTCAATTTAACATCATTCACCCATCTGTTGTTTGACTAGAAAGGGATTTTCCCTGGAAGAAAGTATAGTAGGAAGATATTTTAAATCAAGAAAATAGAATGATAAGATAGGGAGAAATGTATGAGACAATTTTATCTGGAAATCCTTGTGGATATTTTTACATTTAAAAAAAACCTGGAATAACCCAATCCTTGTTCTCAAAATGCCCTCTTTAGGTTTACTTTCAAGAACACATGATGCATGATATCTGGAAGTTGTCTCATAACAAGTGGACTTTTAATTTTTTCTTTGAAAAAATTCCCTGCTTATTGAAGAAGGCTCTTCAAACTGAGCAAGTTGGGACACACTTGCTAGATTTATTCACCTAATCAGCCTATTCAGAAATGAAACCATCCTGGAGGGACATATGAAGTTCACCTAACAAAGATGCTCAGACTGAAGAAACTACTTAAATAAGCAGCAAAACGTTTCAAACAGAAAGAAAAATCCAGTTCCCATGACTCAACTTCCACACTTTACTTGGATGACTGAGAATTTTCACCTATGATGTATAATGGTAATTCCTAAAGCATGACTATAGGCCTGTGAAGGTGAACCTATGGCACACGTGTCAGACGTGGCACGCAGCGCCCTCTCTGTGGGTACGCAAACCGTCGTCCCAGTTAATCTCTGCCACATATGCCACGTGCCTCCGCCAGCCAGCTGGTCTTTGGGTCTCTGGTGTACATGTGCAAAGGGGTGGAGTGGGGGGGCATGCACACGGTGCATGCATGGGGGCATGTACGTAGCATTTTGGGGGTTCGGATGTGCGCAAACACACGCTTTGGGCACTGGGTCCGGAAAAGGTTAATTCTCACTGCTTTAGGTAAACAAGATTTTATTATTCTTTCTGCAAAGTTTTTGCAAAATTCTAAAGTTTGGGGGGAGGGAACCACACCCAAACTAGCACCTCAGGAACAAAGACTATCTTAGCTGCCTCTCTATTTTATTATCATTTTACCTATATTGAAAGCATGGCACTCACACATATAACCTAAAATAGACTAGCTGAGACTGATGTTGGGGCAAGTATTTGTGCATGCTTGACTCAGTGTGGAAAGTGATATATGTTTTCTTTACCAATAAAGGAAGGAAATGAGAGACAAATTAGAATGGGAAAATAATCTTCTGCTTCTAAAGTGATATGAGAGGCAATGTATAAATTTTACAGAATAAAATCCTGGGTATTAAAATTTGCAGTTGATATGACAAATGAATAAATGAGCAATACCCAATCAACACAAAATTGCTTGTCTCACTACCATAGTTTTACAGTGGAAAATAAACAATATTAAGGACACATTCATAAAGTGGACTGCCTTCATGATTCTGAACTCA